GATATTAAAAAAATACAATAAAATCTGGAAGAAAACATCATTTGAAATCTGATAAACATTTGACTAAAAGTTGCATTTAAGAAATTATATTTAAGTTTATATAATTTTATACACCTGAAGATAGTTCTTTTAGAACTGAAACATGTCGTGTAAAAAGTGATGATCTAATGTAAATCGAACATTTCGATGAGAACATCATTTAATATATTTTAAATGTTAATTATAGTAATATTTTAATATTTAATAGAATTTTATTGTGATTAGACTGACCAGATTTAAACAAATATATATTTATCACAATATGACGCAACTTTATCATCTCATCATCTTATACAGCAACATGAAATTAATATAAAAAATAATGTCTAATGACAGCGTGTTGGTCCAGCTAACAATTTGAAAACCGAAAGAAAAAAAACAGTTTTATGTCTCACTTTCGTGGTTCAGTGGTACTCCACGTACTGGAACGCAGCAGAATCGATCAAATAAAATTCGTTGTTAGCCAGCCAGTCGAGGCTTACGCTGTACTGGAACGAAAATTGTTTGTGTTGAACAAGACAACTTATTACAAGTCGAATTGAAAGCACAGCATTTATAAAATGTATTTTTGAGTAAATTAAATTCGAAAACTTCTCCCGCCAAACGCAGACCCCGCCAGGCCCCACCACAGGCGCCCTTTATAGCCTCATTTGCGTTCCTTGATATCGTAGTAGCCACCAGGGCACTGAGTGTCGCGGAATTTATCTCGAGAGACTGCGAGAAACCACCCCAGTTGGGGTAGACATTATCTGGGCCTAGATTCGGATCCCGGACTTGCAGAAAATTAATAAGAAGTGCGGCCTTCATCATCAGGGCGATGTGATGAAGGCAGCAGATACCTCTGAAATGTCGGTAAACGTTTACCAGACCACACGGTGCAACAACCCGAAAGACAGACATATTCAGTTTTTCTTTGGCCGTGTTTCATGAACTTTAAAATATATTTTGACATAGACACAGTGTTTATCTCTGCTACCATATCTGGGGCGTACGCCATTTTCTTTCTAGGGGAGTATGGTGAACATAGTGTGAGGCTTGGTTACCAACAAGTAGTACCGATATCTAGAAAAATGGGTTTATTCTAACTAGGCTTGGTTTCCGGCAGGGCTGTGAAGTCGGAGTCGGAAGAAATTTTAGTTGGACAAAGCAACCGATTTCTGCAACAACCATTAGACGTATATTTAAATATAGGTTATGAGTCTAAAAAGTTTGCTGATGACTCATGTGGTGGTGATGAAATCTCTAATGTTGCCATTTACCATTATAATAGGTTTACCATTATTAATACATATTGAGCTTTTATGATGGAGTTGGGGTCGGAGATTTTAGTACCGACTCCGGTTGTTGAAAAAGATTGCATTGTTTGGAGAAGTGTTAACCTGAAAAAGATTTTAACCTCATTTTGAAGACACGCGATTTTTGACGTTCAAATGTGATCATGAATCTTTGCAAGTAACAACGCAGCATTTCGTTATTAAGCTATTTTGGTGCACGATGCAGTTTGTGTAATTTGGCACATCAAGCAATAGACTGGGTCTATATATACTTAAGTCATGGCGACCCAATTGAAACTGCGGAGTAAATGATGTTTTATCTTGAGATTAACTTTGTGCTTTAAGGTATGGTCAGTGAAGGTGGAGCCAATCACGAGGCTCTGAACGTAATTGTTTAGCAATTATACAATATTTGGTAAGGCATTTTAGTTATTATAATTTTAACGACTTGGATAATCCCTTTGTAATACACGGAATATGAATATAACACCCAAATAACATTGTTGTTAACTCTGAGACGTACGGCATTGTTAATGAATGTAACCGGCCAACAATAATAGAAGACTGATATGACCCAACAGTACTGCCTACCGTCAACAATAGTATTCTATATGGCCTTATAATCCTGGGGTATCGGGTTCGATTCCCGGCGGTGCCCGAATTTATAACTTGTGTTGGGCAAGGCCGTGGTCTAGGCAACAAGGAGTTTTCCCCCGGGGGCTTCCCCGGTTTCTCCGTGCAATCCCAACAATTACTCCATTCACACACAGAAGAAGGCAATGGCAAACCACTTCTGGATCATCCGCCAAGAACGTATATGAACAGGTCCCAGTCCGAGAAAAGGATGGAAGAATCCTGTTCATATGGACCTGTCGTCAGACAGAAAACTAAATAAATAAATAAATAGGCATTTAAAAATTGTCTTTAGTTGCCTCAGACTTTTACAGAAAACGATGTAAATTTCTTCTTCATTGTTATCGGTCTTAGATAAAAGTATAAATGTAAGACAAAATATAAGGAGAAAAGGCAATTGTGATACATAAAAGTTGTATTTGGTGCGAAATGTATGTGGATCTTTAGAAGGCTATAACTATCAAATACAATTCGATGTTGGTATTCTGAATCATTACGAAGTGTGGGCTTTAAGGTGGGTACAAACGTTTCGGAGGAACATACTGCCTCCATCTGCACCCTTTAAGGTAACGTTATTCAATGTTCTGTAGAGACTAAGTATACCACGATATGCCTCAATTAGGGTAACTAGTTAACCGACTGAGATTCGAACCGGGTACCTTCTGAATACATTGATCAAGAAATTACTGTAAAACCAAAGTGGTTGTTTGGGTTTCTATAGGCAGTTGATGTGATGTGTATCATGGACCAAAAATAAAGTTTGCGGAGTGCAGTCCCTTCCCTCCCCAGAGTGCACTGACTTTATCTGCAGTTGACTTGAAGACTATTTCTATATGTAGAGAGGTAATGTATAGGCTATGTACGTCAACCCCAGTACCCTTTCAGATTTTTGGCACACTCGTGATGTGGTGTAACTATGCAACTGTGTTTATTCTATTTAAATCTAAACTGATTTTCTTTTTCAGTGACCAGAGGCATAATGAGTCATATGACATTCACACGGAAGAATTAAGAAATAAAATATCTTTTTTGAAAATAATACTGCTACATATTATTAATGTTAATTATTGCATCTAGTTCTTAATTAAAGAGAATAGATATTGTATGTTATTAGTAACGTTTTGTTCCAGGCCACCCTAAATCATTTTTACGCGCTGAATGTTGATAGTGTGCTCCAGTGACTAATGACAAAAATGTTTTATCACTTGGCCGCATTTTATCGTAATTAAAAATAATTTTTATTTTTAATGAATATACTTATTTTTTTTAGGTTTAATTTTAAAATTATTTGAAACATTATATCTAACATTACAGTAACTAAAATAATTCTACTGAGCATATTTAGGAGATCCCAGACTCGTGGTTGTCCCTGTCCACGTAAATTCGTGCATAGCAAATAACATGCAGGTTTACCAACATTATAAATTTGCACAGTGGCACTTGTCTTCACGTATTATTGATAAGCTATCTTATTTTCTTTTTCACGCATCATGTGCATCCATGCTGAAAATAAATGTTGTCAGCTTCTTAAATTCTTGAAAATGACAAGTCTTCTGGGTTATTGTGCCTTGTAGTCTGGGCCCTGATGACTGAGGTAGCAAGCACCTCTGAAACATCCGTTAACTACTACCAGACAGTCACATTAGTATTCACCACTGAGAGAACCTGAAATCTCATTCTTAAATTTTTGATGACAAAGTAATTTCCATTTTATCCACGTAATTTTCTTATTAATAAGCCTACTATATAATTTTTTATATATATAAGAATGTACATACTTCTGTACGCAGTTTTTATACAGCAGCTTTTCTCGTGTTTTGTTTTTCATAATACCAACACATGAGAAAACTTTGTATTTGCAACAACAACAATAATTTATATTTCAGATTTTCAAAGAACTTCAGGTTTATACATTTTTCTAAATCTGTCCTAACCCCTCTTAATTTTAGTTGATGTTTCCTTCGTATTAGAGCATTAACGCAGATTGTGTTGTCAAAGATCTATCAGCCTCATGTTTCAAGCCAAGTGTGTCGTGTTGTTTTCATTTGGAACTTGAATAAAATGTCAAATGGTCTTTGACTTTAATCCTGTTGTTTCTGGCACGTGTATTTCTGGCTCACTTGATGGGGAGTAACAATAGAATGACAGCCGGTAATGTCACCTTCTGGCAACAATACCAGATGTGGAATATAAAAAGAAAATTTAATCCTTGCTGCCAAGTTCAATGCACCAGCTGCATTTTCAGAGAAAATGGATTCCGTTTAATAATAGCTACACTTCTCAAAATTTTACTATATGATTCTGTTTAATAGTAGCTACACTTCTCAAAATTTTACTATAAAGGTAAAACGCTTTTGAAAAGCATTTTCCTTTCTAAATTTTCTTTCATGGATGTTATATAAAAACACTCCTTTGACATTTGTCCTTTGCTGTAAGCATTAATAATGTAATTGTATATTTCTTACCTTAATTGCTAATGTTGTTTTTTGCTAGTACTGATAACTTTTTAACTATTCAATATCACTTTCATCCTCAAAAGAGCTAGGTATTAATGGTTAGTGACCTATGTAAATAACTGAAGTAAATTTTCTGTATTTTAAAAATACTGCGCAAATATCCAAGTTATTTATCATTCTCATTTTTGTTCTTGCTATTTGTTTCGAGCTCATTAATGTGTCTTTAAAATATTTCTTTAATTTTTCATTCCTGAAAATTCTGAGTTTTATATCTTAAAATTTTTTAGATTGTCTTTTTCATTTGGCTGTCGTTCAGGGAATCTGTCCAAGTTTTAGGCTTTGTGTAACATCTCGTAACATGCTAGCGTATTAGAATGAGAGATTGTTAGCTCATACCCATCTCCTGAGCTAGAAGACCTCCTATTGCAAGCTGTCCATAACTGCTTATTCAGTATATTTGCAATTACTGTCCACATTTGGAAGTCGTCATCTCTATCTGCAACCTGAGGACACGCTGTGCCATGTTAACAAGGTCTCACTTAACCTCATCTGTATTTTATTTATCCTCAGTAACATAAAGATTTAAATTTTGTTTCAGGAGTAACACTGCAAGGAGCACCAACACAGCCTCCAGTTTGTGACATTACTGGGTCCAACAAACGACGCAAGAAGAAGAAGAGGAGGAGGAGACAAAGAGGAGTGTGTATACCAAATGTTAAAGCACAGTTCTTAACCCTTTCAAGCTCAGTGAAACACCTGCTTCAGCAGTCAGTAACTGTGCATTTTGTATTTATGGGCCTTGTATTATTCTCGGCCGGTCGCAGTGGCCACGCAGTCTGAGGGCATGGACCTCGTGCGCCTGGCCGCTGCGACCGTGGGTTCGAGTCACACTCAAGGCATGGATATTTGTCAGTGTCTCTCTGTGTTTGTATAGGTAGAGGCCTTGTGTCGGGCTGATCACTCACCAAGGAGTCCTACCTTTGCCCAAACAGATCACTTAAATGAATAAATAAACCTCGACACCTACGAGTAAAAGAGGATATAGAGAAAGAAGTATTATTCTCAGAACAGAATTAACAAATTGATCTTTGTGATGGTGAGGAGTTATGTTTTCTCTGAGTTACAGGCTGAATACTTAAATGTTCTTTAGGTGAGCTTTAGTTTCAAAGGGTTCGAATAACTTTGACAGTATAGTGGGAAAACTAATTAGTCACAATATATATGGCAGAGAGTTGCTTCTGACGAATGTTTTGACTGAGTAGTTAATTAAATGGGTTGCCAACACAAGATTCGCTGCATCTAAAGATGGACAGATTGGGCTTTCAGATGGCAATTTTGCTGTCATATTAATTTTTTATTTGTGGTAAACTAATTAATTCAATAATTTTTAAACAAAATCCATCCTTATATTTACTGGAGATCACTGATAATCATCCAATCAACCAAAAGTATAAAATTAAAGGAATATGTTGACTTTTGTAGAAGTTAGTAATAAAAGAATTTTTAACTGTATACAAAAATGAAAATTCATTAATTTTTCTTTTATTATCAGATAATTATTCCATTAATATCAATTTGTTAATGATGTTTAAGAAAATAATCCCTGTTTACACCGAGAATTATGTAAGACCCATAAATACAAAATGGACGTTTACTGGTTGGTAAAGCAGGTGGCACATATAGTTCCCAGTGGACTAAAAAAGTTAATATAAATGCAAATGTAATGCATTTGTGTTGAAAAAGATCCAGTTCCACAGACATAAATTACAGCTTATGACCATCGAGCACTGGTGTGTTTCAGGCTGAAGATTGTTGTTCTGAGGAATCCAGTTCTGATGAAAAGGAGTTGGAGGAACCTGTGAGTGTCACCAGTCAAGAATCTTCATCACAAGAAATTGAATCCGACTCGAAGCAGAGCACCAAACTTAACAATGATTCCAGTACATCATCGCCAAAATCATGTTGTCAGACTCTGACTACCACAGATTGCGCTGAAACCACTACAGGGATACCGGCAGCGCCCACTGAGCAGAATCTTCAACTCAACAAATCTGATTATGAAACATCAGAGCTTGTTAGCACACAGCAAGCATCTTTAGGAGAACAAGAAAATATAAGTGCACCTTCAGTATTTAAACCAGATGTAAAAGACACTTGTTCTGATCACAGTAATTGTAATTTTAAGTCTGTAGTGAAGGAAATAGAAGAGCAATCCATACATGAATTTAGTCAACAGACAATACAAGTAGAAAAAGATAACAGTAAATATTTAAATTCTGTGCAGCTTATAAAAGACCAAACAGATAGCAAGGAGCTAGATTTGCATTCATCTTCATGCACATCATCAACAGTTAATTCATTACAACAACAAGAACTACTAGAGACATCAACTAACTATGAAGATGTACCTAGTATTTTCACCACTGATCATCCAGCAAATGGTGGCTCTTTAGAAAAACAAAATGGGAGTAATGAAGCACAGTCAGTACTAACTAGGATAGACAACAATAAATTAAATTCACTAGAAAGTGCAACTCAAGGGACAGAATCTGGTGTGCAGTGTAATAGTGGCAAAATAATAAATGAATGCATTATCAAAACAGAGGATTCAGTAAAGCCATTAAAGCAAAAGAAGTCTGGCAAACAAGCAAATGGGAAACATAAGAAGAATTTAAAAGGGAAAGAAGATAAGCAAAGGAGACTTAAAACATCTGTTACAAATTGCAATATAGATAGAAATCTGGAACAAGGAGGTGACAAGAAAAATGTTGATACAAAGGAAAGGCTAAATGACGATAAAGTTGTAATACCCTGCACAGCAACAAAACATCACAAATCAGTTAATAGCATTCCTTTAGAAATCACCACAGAAGTAGCAACACACATTGAAACAGACACTCCAGCACAGGAAGCAGAGGATAGTGAGTTCTCTGAAAATTATATAGGAGACGACTCAAACGCGCTGCTGAACGGACTTGATGAGAAGTTCGAGATTTCAGCTGCTGATGCTAAAGATATCTCAGTAGCAGACATGGATGGAAATGAAAATAAATCCACACCAGGGGTAAATGAATCTATCAGTTCTGAAGTATCGATGCAAAGTGACGGAAGCAACCAGACTCGGAAGAGTCCTCGCGAAGAGCCTCCGACAAGACCGGTCAGGAAAGAAAAACGAAAATCGTTTCAAGACCAAACTCCAAGTGATGTACCAACTAACTTCAATGTAACTACTAAACCATTACAATTGCCAGCCATTTCATTAAGACCTGATATACCTAAAACAGAGCATAAAAGTTTGCATGAAGGATCCATATCCCAACAGTTGAAAGGTACAGCAGACATTCTTGAAAGCATAACTGCTGCTCTTACTACAGAGCCACCATTACAAGCAACACTTCACAGAGACAATCCAGGCCTACAAAAAGCAGATTGCACTAAAGATCCCTTCCAGTCGCATAAATCTTCAGTGGTAAAGGAAGGCCACGTAAACGCTGCAGCGTCTGTTTCTAGTACAGTGGGTTTATGTTCAAAGGCAACCGAGGAGAAGTTACTTGACCTGCAGGTAGACATATCAGGTCAAACTACTGCAATATCAGCGGAATGTGAAACAGATTTGAATGAAGAGAAATGCCACCATGAGAATCTAAAACCTTATGCATCGACTAGTCAAAAAGAGTGCGAAGTTATTAACAAAGTAAAACACACATCTGTATTGAAAGATCGAAGGTTTGATGAAGTAGCTCAAAGTATGGCAATTCAAGATAAAGTTCAGCCACCAGTACCACCTCCACGAGGTAAGAAATTACGTGCTTGCAAACACAAATTAACTGAACGTTCGCAGACTCCAGGATGGGATTTAGAAGGTGATAATGCAACTGATGAAAGTTCAGGTGATAGCTCAGCTTCTTCAACAACACACGAAAGTGAAGAGTCCGTAATAGAACTCCTGTCCTCCACACACACAAGTCCTGATGATAGACAAAAACAGAACTCATCTTCTGATGAGGAAGAAGAAATCATATTCAGAGCAAAAATGACTCAAGGGAAGGCTGAAGTAATGGATATCAAATCAATTCCTCCTGATAAACCAAATGTTTGTACACCGTCCATTAGTGGTCCATCTCTTCAAGATTCCAGCCAAATTTATGGAAAAGATGAACTGACCACTTCCAGAACACCACCAAAACTTCAGGAAGAAAAGGTTTTCTTAGAATATTCAGAAATTTATGCTGATCAGCTGTCAAAGGTAATCATCTCTGAAGCTGTTTCTGAATCATCAAAGAAACGGACGTGTCTGCCTATCACAGAGGCAGTTAAAAGGTGGTTGAGAAGTCAATCACCAGAAGTACTATCATTGCCATTACTGGAGGATGAAACAGAATCTGAGATATCATCAGAGGAACAGGAATCTGATGAAAGAACAGCAGAAGCAACTGGAAATCAACTGACCGGTCAAAAAAACGTGCTTTGCAACCCTTTACCTGTACCATTGCTTGAAGACTGTCACTGTCCTTTAGTTAACAGTGGTTACAAGAATGGTACTGGTAGAAGGGTTGCATTCAATGATTGTCAATATTTCAAGCCTCAAAATGAAAATATTGTTTCATACATATATGACAATAATAGAACTAATATTTCTATATCAACTGAAGGAGACAAAAGGCTGATAAATGTGTATGATGATAAAGGCTGCATTTTATCTCACAAGGATAACTGTGTTTCTCTCCCTCAGGGTCAAATAAAAGTGTCTCATGATGAAGAAAGTGTTTTAACACGGTGTCCAAAAAATGATTCCTGTGATATAAATGTTAACAGTCGACATGCCAGCGGTGCTGAAACAGTTCCAAGCGGATTTAATCACAAAAATGTCGAAATGAATGCAGTGAATAGTATGTTACAAAATGAAATTAGTTTGAGCAATGCTAAAGAAAACACCTTCCAAAATAAATCACAAGATATTGATGAAGTTGCCACCAGTTTATCAGAACCGGCAATTTTACGCACCAGTTCTGTTAACCAAATGAAATGTAGATCAGACAAGAATGACTCACAACAGAAACAAATGAAAAATGTAAATGAAGAAGAAAACATTGCTGATAATTCCGAGTCAAATTTGTTGAGAGAAGATGATGAGTGTAGTGTCACAAGCGAAGAGACTCTAGAATGTGAGTGGGACCTTTGGGACTCCAACCAAGCAAAACTTCCGTCAGTGTTAGCTACACCTAAAAATCAAACTCCAGTTGAAGATATCTTGGCTAAAACACCAGAAGATAACTGCTCCCATATGTGTGATCCTGCAATGTCAGTAGCAAAGTATTATAACCTTGGAGCTATACAAGAGAAATTTGTAATGCCCAATGAAGATGAAATATCAACTGACAGCAGTGATGAAGAAGTTGATGCACTTAAACATTTCCAGTGTGAACTGGAGGATGATGATGGCCTACAGACTGCAACATTATCAAGCAATGGGACTGGGAGCTTGGACAAGAAGTCAGATGGACATGAAAGAAATAAAACCTATGGCAATCCAGAAATCTACAGAAGTCACTATGGAAAATCAGGTCCAGTGAGCAATTCCAGGGTTCAAATTCAAGAAGAAGCAGACAGGTGCAGAAATATGTATAACACGACGTTATCGCAACGAGCACAGGCAGCGAACTTGTTTCGCAGGAAATCGTCGGTACTTGTGAGCAATCTAAAAGGTGAAGGCCCATTCCCTTGTGGTGGTATATGTTGTATACTACAATGAAACATTCACACTGCCTCAAAACAATTTGTTTAAAATAAGCATTTCATGGCAATATTTATATTACAGTTACATGTGGGGGGATACTAAATAACAGCAGCCAATAATATGTTTGCAGCAGTGCCAGTGCTTCAGAATTGCATTTCATTTTAGTTTGAACTGTGAGCAACTTTCATGAACCAATCATACGGAAGTCATAATGAACATTGCGTTTTCATGTCTGTTGCATTTCTTAATTGGTTTAGCTATACCTGTAGTTAAATCTGCTGCCTCTAAATAAAAATTAATTCAGTTTTAACATAGCAGTTAATAATATCTGTGAGGGAGACTTGAAATATGTACTTTAAAATCTAATAGGCCTGTTCCTAAAACAAAATTTGATTTCAGTATTATTCCTCAAAATGATAAGTACACATAAATGAAAAAAAAATGGGAGTGTCTTAATTTGGGGAAGGGTACATTAACAGAACATTGGTTTGTATGTAGGTAGGCAAAATGAGGGGAGCCACTCTGCTAAACATTTCTGAAATTCCTTCATGGTGACATTTTAAAGGAGACCTCGAGTGGTTTTTTTAAATGGAAAGAATGCGCAATCATAGTTTCTCCATCATGTTATCTGAACTATAGGAGAGGTGGCATGATTAATATTGATTTAAACTCTATGATCAATCTACCCAATCTAAAATAAAGAACAATTACTAAATGGACTGCAGGAGTCACACTCCAAATTTGCAAAATTATTACCCCAATAAAATGATCAAATGTGATTATACCTTCATGTTGGTTTCAAGAACAAATCTGGGCAAACAAAATCCCAAGCTGGATCACATCCTGGAGTTGTAACCAGAGCTCAAGAAACAAATGTCTACTTATACTTTTTGCTGCAAAAATGTAGACCATGATGATTCCTATGTAACAATATTTAACAAGTAAATATTGAAAAACTCATAATCACATTCTGCAAAATTTGTTGAGATAAAAGAGCCTCTCACTGGAAATCTTTTTTGAGTCTCCAATCCTGATGATATGGTCCTTAGAGTTTTAAACTGTTAATTGCAAAAGTGTATTGATTTAAGAGCACCTGATGTTATATGTATTTAGGTATGAACAGAAAGATGAATTAAGAAATATTCATAATTGCTTTTGAAGCTTATTACTATGTAAAAAATGCATAACAGGACAAAACTGTATGTAAGTATTTCAAGGATTAATATATAAAAAACATACATAAATGGGTTTCAATATCAGACACAAGTCAGTTTTTACTCTCAACCAACTAAATGGTGGGTATACACAGAAATAAAGTGCATAATCAAGCATTGTTAATTGATTATTGATTAGTAAGCCTGATGAATTCAAATACAGAACACAGACAAAATTTTAATTGAATTTGGGATATTTTTATAGCTGTGGAATAAATCTTGTCAGCATTGTAGAATCTGATATTAGTTCTGATTGAAATACACAGTAAATGGAATCACAGCAGTCAATTGAAATGTTAGACTGAACATTTTTTTAAAGAAATTCCCTATTTGTATGGTGCTATAACCTTAATATATCCATCTGACAACATCTAGGGAATTTTAAGTTTGCCACATATGCATGAGATCATGAAATCAAAGTGACCTAAGTGCTAAATATGATGCAGGGTCATTATTCATTTTTATGTCGCTTCTCTTCAGGGCCTTCTTATATATTAATCATTACTTTCTTATACTTTCTGTTTCGATGGTAATTAGAACTGATTTTCAAAAGTTCACCATGGTCATTAAAATATCCCATAACTCTAGAGAACATAGGTATAAAGTGATTTAGATTTACTACATTTCTGAAAATGTTTCTGATCGTTGTGTGCCAAGTGTGATGTGGATATTTTCCATAATATAGTTGGATGCTACTGTTTACTTCAGGCTATAGACATTACTGATATGACATACAATAAATGATGCAAATCAATTCATCTGATAACATGGTGGGTGCTGAAGGTGCGACTGGTATTCTGAATTTATTTCTGCTTCATTTCTGTATATTGGGGAAAAATGTTGATTCCACATAATTCTGACATATTTAAGAAGCTTCTCAAGTAATAGTTAAGAATGTCATGATAGAAACTAATTTAACATAAGTTCAAGTTACTGTTCACAATATTAAGTTTACTTGAATCAGCTTATAAAATATTAACAGCCAATGGAAATTCTGTAGGAAATCAATTCAAATGAACATACAAATTGTTCCAAAGTGAGATTTTGTTTGTGTCTTAAATGTTTAGTGTCTATATGTAAATTTCAATGCACTGTGATCACAAGGTGGTTGTGGTTCTGTCATGCTATTGACTCTGTATTGAGTACAATATAAATACATAATTAAAGTAACATAAATTGTAAAGAACAATTAAACTTTCGTAATTACTTCAGCTTCAACTATATGAACAAATAGTGCTAAAGGAGGGAGTTTTGGAATGGAAGACTGTAGCATGAAGAAATGTACTTATGGCTTGTATTTGTTACTAAAACAATTACACAAATTATCTGAAGGACATAAATATTATCATTATTCTTAGTTCAGTCATTGTTTCAAGTTTGTTATATAGCAGAGCAATTACAGCAGCTTGAATATACTTTATCAAAAATGTGTTCCTCTTTTTATCAGTCAGGTATTCTTGGAAAATTTTCAGTGAGGAATAAATAATCCCTAAATGATTCTGCCCATTCCAAGATGGGCACTAAGATCATGCATATAATATGTATAATTCAAGTGATAATAAAGGGGGAGAAATAAATCATCTTCAGAAAATTTAAATTCAGAAAGGACAATAAAACTGATGAGTTTATATTATTCCATTAGCATAAGTGCAGTTATCTACCATCATCCTCTGACAAATCTGATTGTGTATTAAAACTGATACATTTTTAAATATTTATTTTGATGTAAATATTCAAATAAATATGCAGGTCTGCACAAATTTAATGCAAATTTAGGAGCCAGAATATATCAGAGTTTAAAATAATATTTTTGGCATGTTGTCACGAAATTAAATGCCCATTGTTTTCAAAGATAAGACAAGAATATGTTTTGAAAGCTACTACATGTATGAACTGGAATATATTACATAATAATAGTATGCAAAGATACAAAACCATCAGAATAATGTGCAGAAAATCCTAGGCACTATCACAAAATATTTAGGTGTCTTGGCCAACTGGCACCTGGGATTTGTGCTGGCCTGTACATACATATATGTGCCCACATAATAAATAATCATGCATATATCTGGTATGTTCTGCTTAAGTAAGATACAGGCTGATTGACTATCATTCATGGTACTAAGAAAATGTGGGTCTTGCAGAAAGTCCATTTTAACTATTGACATACATGTACATGAAGTGGCAAAGAAAATAAAGCAGAAGAGAAATACAGATATCAAGAACAGGAATAGTGTTACCACGTGATGTAAAGATTTGAGGAGCAATAACCTATTAGATATTGTTTTCTCACAAGAAGAACTTCTCTTCCAAATACCACAGGAATGACAGTATGGAAGCAGTCTCTATGGCAAATGGTGAGGATATTGATTCCACACCAAAACTGTGACATGGTTAACACTAGTAATGTAACATGCTGTTACCAATCTGGTAAGATATAATAAACATGTATGCATGTGGCAGTTTCTTTCAACCAACTTCCTACAACTGAGTTGATGAAACTGCAGATAATTAAACCATTTTAATGCTTGTAAAATTGTTTAGAGTGCTGTCACATTATACAGTAGCAATAAGCTGAAAATACCATTATTCTACCATTACCAGTAAAAGATTTACAAGAAGTTGCTTTTACTTCAAATAATTTGTTTACGGAAACTTTAAGTTAATATAATGAAAACTTTTATTGTCCCATGTTGTTAATGTTCTGATATGACATGAACTGAGAGAGATAATGAAGTTTCACAAATTATGTTTATTTTATCTACATACTGCCTGTCAAACTTCCCCTTCTGTTATATAAATTATATATATATATATATATATACATATATATATATAAAAACACTTTCCCCCACCCCTAACAAGACTTTTCAAAGCAAAGTCCTTTTAAGATTGTAAAAGACTGCAAAATTGAAAATATGTTAATCAGTGGTAATAATAACTAATAATAATATATTTTAAATATATTATTGTTTTATTTTTGTTGGGTGTATATCCAGAACTGAATATATCCATTCTGTTGATATGAATCACATTTTAAGCTGAATTAAAAATGTGAAAAAGTTAATTTGTTTATTGGCAATGAGAATTATAATACAATATTGAAAACAAACCCAAAATCAGTTAAATATGCAACATGTATATGCTAATGGTTTTTAATATTTATAAAAATGAATGTTACGATTTTAATATGATTATGTAATGTCACACGTACAATATATAAACTATTTTCAACTTAATTTTTGTGTCTGACATGCATTGTTAAAATATTTGTGAAAGAGAAGCTTTTTCTACATGTTGAACTTATTTGAAGGTGTTACTGAGATGTTCATACAAGAGAATGGTGTTATTTTCAAAGCATTTAAATCAAGTTACAGAAATGTGAAACTTTTTAATATACAAGAAATAAATGGGAATTGTTTGTTAATCATAATTTTTGCTGAAGTTTGCCATAAAGATTTAAAGAATATGAAGGTGTCATGCATTGTGGTAGTAACTGAAATGATACATTTCTTGTTATTATTCAGTTACCTGAATTATATCCCTAATAATACATTAATTGTTCTTAAACATATCATTATTAATGCAACTGCTAATGCTCACAGAACTTACATATTTTGAGCAAATTATAATTGTTTTTGTTTACTGCAGTGCAATTAAATATGAGTTCACTTATAAAGCTACAACTATTCTTGCCATATGTCACTTCTGTGTTATATTTTGCTTATTTTCATAAACTAAATGGGGCTCAATTTTTACTTCTAGGACACTGGAACATTCTTGTAGATTGCAGATGAAGATTGTTTATCTACTGTAACAGAAATTAGTACTAATCTGTCTTCTTAATAATGACAACACCTGTGAATTCACATGTATACTGAACTGGTAGATCTCTCTAGTTAACCTGTAAGTGAAATTACAAGGAAAGAGGATAACTAAGTCAATGAACAGCTAATTTCTACACTTTTTTTAAAAACAAGTTCATGATTAAATTCCTAGAAGTTTAAATACATTGCACAAATTAAAATTTTGAATCTAAAAAAACAATATATATTTTAATAAAATATGGCAGTTAAGATGCTTCTGTATATCATTTTGTAATGGAAATTCCACCAGCATGGATATTACAAAATGGACAATTTCATTCCTAATCATCATTGGTGAATGAAGATGGCTGTCTTCTCGGTTGTCGCGCCATGTAGTCTGCTAGAAGACAGCCATCTTCAAACTCACTGCCGTGAAAACCTCAAATCCTACATTTTTGGTGAACATTACATCTAAGATTTGAGGTTTATAGCAGTGACGATGTTATCGGTCGTATTCTGGGTTTTGATGTCATATGGTCTCGATGGTGAACATTTTGGAGCAACACACTAATTCCATCTTCTGCCCTGAAGTTGGAGGCAGTATGTTCCTCTGAAGTGGCCACCTGTAAGACTACACAGTGTCTCAACCCAGAAGACCACAATGAATGTAACTTATCTGTTCTAGCATATGTGGCAAGTCTTAATCAATAACTTAACATTTATAAGGAAATAAGAAATCTGACGATTCAACTCCATCTGCTTTGGTGCTGTAAAAACTATAATTGCACAACCAATACCACAGGTTTCCAAAGTATGAAATAAAGTTACACAGAGATTTAATTATATTGCATTTGTTCACAAATTATTATATATGATCACACTGGCCTTGTGATATGTAGATTTTTATTTTCCACTTTTACAAAGTAGTTCATGTGTTAAAATGAAAATTACAAATTTACTATAAAAAGAGTATTATTTAAGAGTTCTAGTGCCTAGAGAAGTAAAAAAGAGGAAAGAAGATTAATACTCTGATGTCTTGTAATGAATATAGATGCCTTCCCCTCTGATAATCATATGTGAATGTTAACATTTTAGTTGCAACCATAATTGCCAATCACCTCCTGTTTTTTTTAATTAACAAATAATGGCATTGGTCATGTATACACATAATATAATGATGATATGTCAAAAAGTCAAAATAGTGTATAATCTAATTTTCAGTGTGATGTGTGAGATTGTTACATATAAACAAATGTTGCCAAGATATGTTATTTTGTGTTTTTTATTTTAGATTTGCTAAAAAAGTGGATTATTCTTTTGAGATACAAAAGTAACTGTTTCTATTGTTATGAAAGTTAAAATTTTGAATGAAGAAAACATTTAAAAATAGAATGCATTAATGCACTGTTGCTCATTGTTTATTGTTGATGAATGATAATGTAACGGGAGATAAATTATTTTACAGGTTAAGAGGAAATGGTGGAAATATTTTTTGTGCATATTTTTAAAACCAGTTTCTAAGCAAATTGAAAATGGAGACTTTTGTTTTGAACTATCAGGGGAGAAATTATATTCTTAATGTATTGATTTGTTAGTATGCTTATTGAAATAAGAAACGTTGTGAAGTTGAAATTGTAAGCTCTTGATTTTTTTAAGTGTAACTGAAATTGTAGTTCCTTTATCATGTTTCATGGTCATACTGTTCTGTTTATCTCTGTGAATACACATTATAGTTCATACCCATATAACTAGATCATGTGTAATAGTAGGATTAAGAGTTTCAAGCAAAATTCTGTTGTACTGTGCATTTCTTTCCATGTTGGTGCATTACCTATTTAAATATTGACATCATTGTTTCCCATATAACACCAAATTTAAGCAATAATCTGATTTATAGAAGACAGTGCCTTTCAAAATTTTTCTGTAGTCCCAGGTATGCGGTCATTATTCACTTGTTTGTACTCGGAATTTCACTGTTTTATCATGTTTAATATAAACCATGGCTCACATTAAACATATATCTGTGCTAATATTGAAACAGTTCATATTTATGCAATTTTTTTCATTAAATTGAGTAAATATATTGTAATCCCAATGCAGTTCAGATGTACAATACAACAGAATTAAAGATGAATGGACTGCTAGGTAGTGTAGAGACTCTAATAAACTGAAGTATACATTTAGGTTTCATGGTCACTGCAAAATATGTTTCTAAGTAAACAAAAAAAGTCAAGTATTATGGTATGAAAACAATTATAACAATTATATAAGTACAGTAGACTCAGTAAAGAAATATTTTAATTGGCAATTTATGTTTAAACAATGTATGTATAGCATACAGGGGACATAAGCAAGAATATAAATTTTAACATTAAGAATTTAATGCAATAATAGGCAAAGTAAAGTTATTATTACTGTATGCAGGATATACAGAATCTTGTGGAATTTAATGAGTTTATGAATGAAAACAGGAAGGAAGTTGGCCTTGGTATCTGCTAAGGTATCACAGAAACCATTTCATTGAGAGAAAGATTGTTTTTGTTCTTTTTCTGTCTTATGTTCATTTTTTAAAGCAATAAAAATGACAACCAACCAAACAAATGCTTATTGCATATTACAGTATACACAATGTGTCTCCCTTTCATACTGTGTACACATTTTTGACGTAAATACGTCTATAAGGAAGGGTCATTCAGCAAAAAAGTATAACGAAGTTGTGTAAGATCCATATTAACAATGTGTAAATATGGACTGACAACAATGGTCAGCTTTTATATGAACTCCTGCGTGCATTGTTATGTTACCTAAGAAACTAATTGTTGCGTCATCTGTTTACTCAGCATTGTTGTGTTACATTACTGCCGTCAACAATCCGCTTTCGTTATTGCGGAAAGATCTGAGCTGTGAATTGCTTGTAGAAGAAGTGCATCGTAGACTAGATAATTTTGTGCTGGTAAACATGTTTTAGAATATCACAAGTATTTATCTTATATAAGAATTATTACATTTCATTACATTACAGAGAAGTATTTACGTCAGATTCTCCGGAACCGTCGTTCCACTGTCAACTTTTTTGTTTTTAATGTTTACAGTAACATAGGTGAAAATGCTTTGAAGTACATAAAGAGAGGATGAAGAACCAGGTCATGAAAATGATTCTGATTCTTCATATATAGTATATATAAAATAAAGAATGTGGTCATAGGTTTGAATCCTGTCTAGGACATGGATGTTTGAATGTGTTATTTTCCCTGCATATTTTACTAATTAGTTTCCCCACTGGTTTAAGTGGTGTGTCATAAGAATCAGTGGCAGTGATTCAAGCATATTAGAAGATCAGAAAAATATTTTGACAGAGAGAGAGAGAGAGTGTTTTTCTCCTTTCAGATTTTGACCCAATGTAACTAAAAGTCAGATACAAATTATCATTCAAATGTACAGGTATAATGGATCGACTGTTCCAAAATTATAGGCATAAACATGTGCACCTGCATGAAACGGTAGCTCAATTAGTATTGAAAATAGGCTATGGGATGGGTGACCAGCTCTGGGGCCTACCAAGTTGGCACCATGATTTCTTCCTCAGAGAAGTCCACAGGAAAATCTTTGTTGGATTTTCATCAAAACGGACAATTCACGATTTCTCAATTAAACGCCAGCACTCAAGGAAGCAGCGTGTTAGCATTCGACGTTTGGCAGGTTAGGGCTGTAGTTTCTTATCCTCAAGCCTTCATTATATCGTGTATCTTCTATTGGCGCCTGTGCAAACAGACGAGGAACGTAAGCCTGAACAAAGTGGCTAACACGGGCTGAAACGTGATAAGGTATGCTGGAAGAGGCGCTACCATAACCCCAAAATAAATTGCACCTGTCGGCTCTGATCGACCATCCGAAAGATATCCTACATAGAAAAAGGTATTCCAGACGCACAAGTAAAAGGAAGACTAAATCTGGACCGCGCAAAACTAAAATTCTTACTATGTAATCTATACTTTAAATTTTGTGTACGTTTCTTCTCAACAATTACATTTCGCTTTTGGTAAAAATGCTCTTTTGTGAATATTACAGTGCGTTCTCGCTGTCATCGACCAGTCGTGTTTACCAAGTTGTTATTGTAAATTTTGTAGGTAATCTGTGACTTGGAAAAGAAGACACCCAAGAGCAGAGTACAGTCACTTATCTGTGTACTGTAGAATCATCGGTGTTCAACTGTGTCGGGTGGTTGCTGAATATAATTGAATTAATTTGAAGTAACTGCATAAAGATGTCTGAGAAAAAACCTGTGAATCCTATAAAATATTTCTTATCTGGTGGATTTGGTGGAGTTTGTACAGTCGTTGCAGGCCATCCTTTAGACACCATCAAGGTATTTGTTAAATATGTATAAATCTTAAAGGGTTATGTTTATGTAGTTTTCAGCATTGCTTTGAACTATTATAACTTTTGTATACTTATTGTCAGTTTTACCTATCCTCCAAAACGCTGGTGTCTACTTATGAACAACTCGGAAGACCAGCTTTAAATTCTTTAGGGTACTTCTGTCTCAAAATGAACTTTAATTTTACTTGCCACTCTTATAGTTGTGGATTACAGAAAGTCTCTCACAGTACTGCTAAATTCAGTGAAAATTCAGGACATAATGATATTATTATATACGAAATAATAATATCATTATGTATATGACTGTGTTTGTGTGTGTGTTATTTTAAGGGATTTTTGGCCTAAGTAGGATTTAAGGTTTTCTTGGCATCAGTTGTGAAGATGGCTGTCTTCAGGGTTGTAGCACCAAGTAGTCTGGTAGAAATTTACAAACGTTTTCAAGATCATTACTGGCTCGATCATCCAGGTTGAATGGCACTACAACCCAGAAGACGGCCTTCTTAAATTTTTAATCATATTGAAAATAATAATATAAAGCTGTTTATGCATGTATGGACATTATTATAACAGTTGCCATAATTTTGGCTCTATAATTTGTGTGACTGACCATAAAGCCAAATTCTGGATTGACCATTGTCATGACCCTCAATTTTGTAGGTGTGTAGTGCTTGACAGTTAATATTGTCTTACACATGAACATTTGTTAGTTTTTTTAGAGGTGAAAAAGGAAACCTACAGATATTTGACTGGAATCTTTGCTTACTTTCGTGAAATGCTGGAAAAATATTTCTGCATTCTTACCAGGAATATTATGTGGCACCACTTTCAAAACCTGATGTCGCCTTGCAGTCATAAAATTTAGCAACATGGAAATGTAGCTGAAGAATGAGGGATTTCGGTAACAGCAGTGAAGAAAGCCAATTTTAAAAGCAGTAACAGGGTTGTACAAGTAGGCACTTTCTAAATTGCATATATGTGAGCCTTTGCAATGTATAAAAAGAGGTATAAATTGGGTAATGAAGGCAAGTCAGGAACATGATTTACAGATCTTAGTGTCGTTCATCGACTTGAGACAGAGGGACCATAGGAGCCAATGACGTATAGAATATAATTTGCTGTTTACTGGCCATTATGTGCAGTCTCTCAAGTGAGTGAAACCCTGGTACTGACCTGTCATATGTGGGCAGAGTTATTTAAGAATAGTAAGGAATTTAGAATTGCTTAGTAGTAGGCAAACCTGAGCTAGGAGCCAAAAGTTACTCATATCAGTGACATAGCATGTGGAATAATATTTATTCTTGTTAATATCATTATTCTCTTGTGATATATAAGTATATACAGCCAGGCATGTCTTTGATGGTGATTTTCTAACCTTCCTCACACATCAAGGGACTGGGACCTACCAAGGTTTGTTACCAAGAACATTCCTATGTTAATTTTCCTCTTGAGGGTATACCAAAGACTGGGTTCTAGAGGACCTACTGAGGGTAGGAATGGTAGCAGTTCTACTGAAGAGTGGGTTTGTCAGTGGGATTGCAACCTAACCAGGGATTTCTGTTTAATGGTATGTGGCTGAAGTAGGCTGTGACTAGTTAAAACCTAACAGTTTGAATTTTGAAGATGGCAGTCTTCTGGGTTGTGGCCCTGTGTAGTCTGGTAGAAGTTTACCAGAATTTCAGAAGTGCTTGCTGCCTTTATCATCATGATCATCATTGCCCAGATGATTGAGGCAGCAACCTCTGAAACGTCGGTAAACTTCTACCAGACTACACGGCACTACAACCCAGAAGGCAGCCATCTTCATATTTGCTGCTGTGAGAACCTCAAATCCTACCAGTCAGAATTAGCCCAGTAATTATATTATGTCTGCTTCAGAATTTACAATTAAAGGTTATATAAAAACTCATAGGTTGAACTGAAAAGGCTTAAATTTCCTTTTACTTTCAACTGGGACTTAGGGTACAAAGCAGTATTAGGTGTACCACATGGAGGATCTTTTCAGTGAAATGTTATTGATGCTTGTAGGTGAGGCTGCAGACTATGCCCAGACCTGCTCCTGGTGAAACTCCAGCATACACAGGAACATGGGACTGTGCCAAGAAGACTGTCAAAAGAGAAGGGTTTTTGGGGTTATATAAAGGTATGAATGTAGTTATGCTCATTTTATAAAACTTCAGTAGCCTGTGCTTAAGACATGTTCTGTCCAGTAAATATTATGATGGTAAGTCAAAATATGAATTTAGAGAAATTGTAATTTGTTAATCAACCAACTCATAGTTGTCTTTCCTGTACTAAAAAAGTGGCTGGTGATAGTACATAATTTTGGCACACATATTCCAAAGTGACGTTCTAAGTGGCAGTTCTCGAAGGTGATTGAAGAAATCACTGCTGTTATTTATGACCTTTAATGGTTGTAGATAATTTCAGTACCATTTTAATTCTCAGATCTACAATTAAGAACCAAGAGCAGGCAATATACAGAAATGGTTTATTTATCAGAGTTTTAGTATGGACATATAATGCAAGGAACATGTTTTCATATCATCTACTTGTTGATCACCAGGTATGAGTGGTTCTAAACATGTAAAAACAAATTGCAAATCAATGCTGTAAAGTACCATCACATAGTTTACACCATTAGATGAAATTTAACTTTTCTTCTTCGGTATATTAAGGACTTCTATCACGTTCTTTCCAGGAATGGGTGCACCGATTGCTGGAGTTGCACCAATATTTGCAATTAGCTTCATGGGATTTGGAGTTGGAAAGCGATTACAAATGAGCTCACCTGATGACAAACTGACTCTGACACAGCTATTTCTTGCCGGAGCATTCTCGGGAATCTTTACTACTTCTATAATGGCTCCAGGAGAACGCATCAAGTGTTTACTTCAGGTATGAACATTTTTCGTGTTAGTAAATACGCAGTCATGAACCCTGGAATCGTATCAGTGTTGGAGTTTATCTGATAGGCATGACTGACTGAGAAATTGCAGCGATGATCAAATTTATTCTCATGTTTCTTCTTCATTCCATCTCATTCTTTTAGAAGGCCTCAATACATTATCTGTATATATAGGCTTCACATCCAAAAATTAGAGCCAGGACAGAAATGTGTTAGTTTTAAGTCATTAGTTATAAAATACATGTTGTTTTTACAGAAATTTTCATTTACAATATTTATCAGAGTGTGATGTTTGATAAAACTCAGTAGATTTTTCACTTGTTGATAAAAAACCCAAAGGGGGGGGGTAAAATAATTATACCACATTATAAAATAAATAATATGGAACAGCGAGATCCCAAAACAGTGCAAAAAGACAATTTATAAAGTATATTTTAAAGCTGTTCATGGTTGTTTGGGAAGTTGTGTCACATTGTCTGATAGGAATTTATTTGCATTTTGGAGGTGCTTATTGCCTCTGGATTCATATGATGATGGAGGCACCTCTGAAACATCAGTCAGTTTCTACCAAACTACGTGGCACAACAGCCCAGGAGACGGCTATCTTCGTACTTGTCACTGTCAGAACCTGAAATCTCACCTTGTAGTTTACTTTGTTTAGTAGTACAATTTGTAATGGAACCATTGATGCAGAAAATCATTTGCACATGTACCATAAATATAATTAATGTTAGAATTTGTGTACACTTTTCTATTTATTTAGATTCAGCAGGGTGGTACTGCGCCTCCTAAGTATGCTGGTCCAGTTGATGCCATAAAACAATTATACAAGGAAGGGGGCATTCGGAGCATTTATAAGGGCACCTTTGCCACCATGCTAAGAGGTAAGTACCACCTATTATACCAAGTGTAGTGGTTCACAAATTATATGTCTGCTTCACATGTTGAACATCCATGGGACGTAACATGTCACCTATTGAAGTTATAACATGTTTGGCGGTAATATAACATTGCAGATTTTATGGGTCATCAGTTTGGAAATGTTAGGAAGATCGTGACTGGCAAATCTGGGGCAATAATGATGACATATTGTGTAGAACTTTCTTGGTATTTGCTTTGAAGCACTTAGGATTACCAAGAAAGACCTCGAGGTAAGTGGTCCGTCCAGGATTGATATCACATACCGTCAGAACATATGATGTCTTACCACACATCTAAGCCTATTCACTGATGAGTTTTAAACAGTACAATAGCTTGAGACAGTTCTGCCTCAGTGTTCTGTTTTCTCTCTTAATGAAGATGGCAATTTTCTGGATTGTAGTGCTATGTAGTCTGTTGGAATCTTATGAACATTTATTTCTGAGGTCCTTGCTGCTTCCATCATCAAGGTGTGATGAGTCCACTTACCAGACTACATGGCATTACAACCCAGAAGACAGATATTTTTTTGGCTTGCTGATATTTTTGAGAACTCTGCCGCCTCTGTCTTTAAATGAAAGTAACTAATTAGCAACTTGGTGCGTATGTTTTCCCACACAATTGTTTAGTCAACTTTGCCTTCAAGATGGATACAGGCAGGTTATCTAAAGCTCTTAACAAACTAACTCTCCAGCACCTAATAATGGAATCATGAATAATCATTTGGGTTTGTTCACATATTAACACTATCCTAGAGAGTAAAATAATTATTGAATCAACAGTAAATTTATTTTAAGGAGTGAATTGAATTATGTAGATTTAATGTCCTCTCTCAAACACAATCTTTTTTTCTATACATAATTTCCATGAACACTCTAGTACTTGTCCCATATTGCTGAGAGTACCCATATCCTCTCACCAGACCACATAATAGCCAGACTGAGACAATATTTACCCGAGTATCATCTGACAGTTTGGCCTGAGATTGCCTCTTTAAAGGGGCAATCAGTCCAAGACAGTATTCACTCTGCTGTTATCACATAATTTTTCCTATCTAATACATTTTAATTTCTGGGACCAAACTCTTAATTATCTGATGGGAATGTATTTTCCATTGTGAATCAGGGTACAGTTGGTATAGATTGGTGACTGGAACACAAACACTTTGCATCTCCTAGAATCATTATTCAGAGTGTTTTACACATTGAAAAATATGGTTACATTTAGGATTTGAGGTTCTCATATTGGCAAGTATGAAGATGGCTGTCTTCTGGGTTGTCGCTGTGTAATCTGGTAGAAGTGTACTGATGTTTCAGAGGTGCTCGTTACCTCCATCATCAAGGCAATGAGTGCCTTTGAAATGTCAATAAACTTCTCCCAGACTACATGATGCTACAACCCAGATGACAGCCGTCTTCATGGTTACATTTTTGTAGTAAGTGAAGTATCATTACTTCATGAGTTGTGTTTTTTTTTTGGGACTAAATGAACCGCAAATATATCTCACTCAGGATGGGTAGTATCAGGAATTAAATTCTTTTTAATCTGATAATCTGCTACTGTACTATATTAAGAAAAGCTGGTATGGAAAATAAGCAAGCTGCTCTTAGAATACAGATTTTCTTTAACTGTTTTATGTGAATTTATATTTTTAAATGATGTTTACAGGTAATTTAATTATGATTATATTTACTAAGATTATGTTTGTCCAGTTTTAATGTTAAATTTTGTTGCTTTGTAGACCTGTTATTTTGACAGTTGTTATCAGGAATGATTACTGATTTCACCAGCATTTATAGGCAAAGTTAAGATAAAGTACATTTATTTCCTCAGCAGTCATATTAAGGGTTATTGTATTGTTTTAAATTTTCTATGAACACACACATTTATATTAACCCTTTAATTTTCTAGATACATAAGTAACCAGGGTCTTGAAACAAAGTGTATTACTAACCAAATTCCAAAGCAAACTACTTTTTGTGTAGCAAATTAGACAAGTCTGTTGGGATTTTAGTCAGCCACAACTTTGTGTCAAAAATGGGAACTACATAATTGTTTTAAACTAACTCATTATTCCAGCTGGTTTAAATTCCTTGAAAGGAACTTACTATACTAAAAAGTCTATATTAGCTATTTTTATTGTACTTTAAAAATGGCTTGGCATTTGAAAGGAAGAAATAATTACTTTGCCAAGCTGCATTTGGTAAAATATGTATTTTACTTTGACTTGGAATATTCTGGAGCATTGAATTGATATTTCTAATAATAATCATTAGTTTGCAGTATACATTACATTTTCATATTTAGTATGATCCTTTTTATGAAAATGTTTACAAAATATTTAAACTTAATTTTAATTTTTTTATCACACTTAAAAACACTGCTCTAGTAGAAAACAAATTTTCTGTGTGAATTTTTAAAATTGATGTACAACACATTATTACTCTGATAAATTTATTCTTAGTACACATATTTTCTTTCCATTCCGTAGTTAAAACTATCAGTTTTGGCTTCTTTGTTTCCTAGAACATGTATGCTTCATTTTGAACATACCATTTCTTTAGAGAGTAATGTTATTAATTTTTAGTTTGGTATCGTTTCATCTTCTCTTGACGCTTTTTCTCCATTTCTAATTTCCATGCTTTCTTTGACAGTTTATTTGGCTTACCATTTTCTTCTTGGAGCATATAATTAGGTTCATTTTGTTTCATTTTTTGCTTGGCAGCTGCTTTCTCCTTCATTTCTCTCAGTAGTTCCATTTTTTGCTTTTCCTTCTTGTTTCTAAGATTCATACTTTTATCGTCAAGTACAGTTTGTGCTGACATGGTTACATCTGTGTCTTCTGTTTGTTTTGTGATATTAACATCAGCTTTGATTGTTGTAACATCTGGCTGCTTGGTGGATGTCCAATTATCTGAGATCAGATCATTATTATATTTATCTGTGCTTTGAGAAGTTGATGCAGTAATGAGTGCGCTAGTTGAATGTAAAGTTGATGCGGTTGTATCATCACTCTCTGTAACACCTGTCTCATTGCTTTCGTCCTCCAGTTTTTGCTCGTTATTGCTAGATTTTGTAGTGTTGTATGCAGGCGAGGCTGGAGTGATCTTTGTTGTTCCAGTGGACGTTATAGTAGTTGGAAGTTCATGAATTGGTGTTTGTGTTGAATTTTGTTTTGGGTCAGCATTCCCAGTTGAATTTCCTTCAGCCACCATTTTATTATTTGCATTTGGTTGTGTGACATGAGAGTAATATCTGTAGATTAGTTTATTTCCTATGTATTTAGGTTTAATGCTTTTTTCATAGTCCTCATACTTTTTCTTCAAATAGGCCTTCCTATCTATTTTGACATGTTGCTTCTTGTTGCATCTGAGCTCTTTGCGTAGCACTTGAAACACACTCCAGTTCTTAAATTTTGATGGTGATGTGCATTGTGGTGCGAAAAAAAAGAGTGTAGTTACACATGCTACCTTTGTCATAGCGAAATTGGCAAAAGTTGAACTGACCCTTCTGTTTGATTTTATTGATGACAGCTGGTTGCCAGTCCTTCATAGCGCATGTGCAGTGCCATGGGTTGCCATCAAGGCGCACCATCTTAGCTGGAATGTTTGACAGAAATCCAGGGGGAAGTCTGTTCAGCTTGTTGTTTTGTAGAAGCAGTTCTCGAAGTGAAAACTGTTGGTCAAATAGCCCTGGTGGGAGGGACTCAAGAAGATTATCTGACAGATCCAGGTAAAGCAAACCATAAAGCCCGTAGAAAGCGTCCATGGAAATTGAATGGATGTTGCATTGATGCAGCACTAGGTTTTCAAGTTTGGGAACCTCAAGGAAGGCATCAAATGACAAACCTTCAATGTTTCCAGTTATTTTCAACTCTTTCAACTTTGGCATTCCTCTCAGTAGTTCTCTGTCTAACATGGGGATGTCTGCATTGAGGATAGTCAGCTCTTTGAGATTTATTAGACCAAAGAAAGAGTTGGGTTGGATGCTAAGTGGTGATTCTTTCCCTCCAATATACAAGATTGAAGTGGCATTCATAATTTCAAATGTGCTAGCAAATACAGATTCTATAGGATTGTGCCTGAAATCAGCTATGCATAGCTTGGGGAAAGGTGGAAGAGATAATTCAGATAGATGTGAAAAATTGTTATGAGAGAGATCAAGCTTTTCTAGCTCAAATAAGCCAGCCAGGCTCGTGCTCTGAAGACTCAATAGGTGATTATGCGCAAGTGACAAAGTATGAAGGTTTGGTGCACCCAAGAAAGCAAAGTCTGGTATGAACAAAAGGTGGTTTCTTTCCAACAAGAGGTAACGCAAGTTGTAGAGGCCATCAAACATCTCCCAGTTTATTTCACGCAGTCCACATTCAAACACTCTTACAAACTCCAGATTGGTGAGACCAGTGAAGGTTGATATAGCTGCCTGCTCCTGCTGTTCAGCGTACACTTTGTAAGGGAGGATGTCTCCATCCCCATCTATAGGAGGGAGGAATACGAGACGATGCATACCGATCCCATGTTGTCCCTTGTGTTTTACCTTCTTTGAAGTTGGTTGTATGTAGCTGTTGACTGAAATATCATTTGAGACTGGTTCAAGTGGAACAACTGCTAGAGAAGCATGATTTCCTTGTCCTGGGTAGCCTAGTAATTTTATGTGCTGAAGGTTGAGATACTTGAGTGAAGAGAGTGGATGGAGTGCATCATTTCGTAACACCAGCTTGCTTTGTTTAGAATCTGCCGAGGTTACTGGCAGTTCATTTTGTGAATAATTACTTACTTCATGGTGAAAGCCATGGATTTCTAGAACTTGCAGTTGTTGGAGGTGAGACATGTGTTCAGCTTCCAAAATAATCTCCCCTGAGTCTCGAGCTTGCAGGATTGTCAAGGCCTGAAAACATAAAATTCTGTACTGTAGAAAATAGAACATACAAAAAAGACTGTATGGTTTATAACATAAGGGTTGAAGCAATGGAAAGGAATAACATATTTCTGTCCGTATTTCCACGTAAGCATTTGGCATGCTCTCTTTACTGATGTCTTATTTTTCATCATTGGATTCAATCCTCATTATCAATTAGAACAGAGATTCTCAATTTCCAGATCTACTGATGTGTTTTGTAATGTCACTGTGTTTGTTGGAAAACAGTTATTTGATTTTGGAAAAAACACTTTATTAATGTCACTATTTGGCAGTACCTTTGACTGTGTGCAACTACAGCTTAATGAACATCGCCAGTTCCGTAACAGGACATGTCTCACTGATGAACACATAGAAGAATATATGTGAATTGCAACAACAGAAATTAAACCCAACATTGGAAGATTGACAAAATAAAGGCTGAGTCTCACATACGACTGATTTTGTTAAAGAAAACTGAGTAATATGCAAACTGTGTAAGATTTGAGATTTTCACAGCGGTGAATATGAAGATTTCTGTCTTCTGGGTTGTTGCGCTGTGTAGTCTGGTCGATGTTTACCAACATTTCAGAGGTCATACTGCCTCTGTCATCAGGGCGATGAATAATCACCCTGATGACGGAGGCAGTATGACCTCTGAAACATTAGTTAACATCAACCAGACTACACAGCGCAACAACCAAGAAGACAGAAATCTTCATATGCAAACAGGTTTGTTATAGTATGTTAATAATGTTTTAATAAATTGCACTATAAACTTTGCAGGCTGCTAATTGATAAGCAAGGATGAATATGTCCTTGGATGTGGAAGAGGCTGAGAATCCATGATGTAGAACAATTGAGAGCTGCCTGCTAATAATATTTTTATCTGTTGTGTTACGTGCATTTACCTGAACATCTGATGATAGCATGCTGAGAAGTGAGAGAGGTTCAGTGCTGAACTGGAACACACACATTGCCATCTTCAGAACTGCTTTCCCCTTTTCTGAAGTTTGTCCATTATCTTCATACATAACCTGGTTTGGAAAAGCATATTGGACATATGAGTAATATAATTTTGATCTGTACACATAACATCAAACAAAAGACAGGTTTGTTTTGCTCAGTAGCTTATTGACTTGTCATCCAGCACATTCACATTTTTATCAATTGAATTGAGCAGATATTTATTTCTTGTCCTATCACAGAATTCATACTATTCTTTCATAACATAGAGTTAAAGTTATTTGTGTATTTACATATTATCTGTACATTTATTTAATTGAAATTTATCATCAGTGCCATAACACTAAAGATCTCTGAAATTACCTTTAGAACAGAATGTATGAAATAGTGTTATATATTCAGTGAATAATATGCCTAGTATCCCACGGGTGATGATTATTGGGTAAACATTTTATGTTGACAGTCACACAAGAAGGAAGACAAATATTGAAGTATTCATTTTAGGTTTATCTTAATCTGAATTCAAGCTTCTGTACTTGATTTGTGGTAGCTGTCAGTATGGTGTCTGACCACTGACTGGATGACCAGAGTTTAATCCTCAGCAGAGAAAGGATTTTTCTTCTAGCCTCTGTTGGTAATGATAAAATTCACGAATAACAACTGCTTTGGGTTGATTGACGTGTGCCTGAAGGGAATGTTGTGATAATGAAAAAGTGAAAAGCCTAGAGCCCTGTTGTCCCCAGCATCCATGGAACTTTTTTCATCAGCCTCAGAAAAGTATTCTTATGATGGTAAATTTAAGGAGGTTAGGATGGACTGAACACATTGGTTGGATGGAGAGGCAAGAAATGCATATAAAATTGTGGTGGGGAAAGCTATTTAAAAGTAGTAATTTACAAGACTAAGAAAGAAGTTGGAAGGATGATAGTTCATAGGCAAATGGTTTGTAAGGTTGATAGAAATAGTCAAGGATATTGGGCTTTGGTATTTGCAGAGTTGAACTTTTGGACTCTACCACTAGAGAGTTGGTTGGTGGGGATGTTAATTTCTATGTGACTTGGAATCTAAAAAGGTTACTATAAAAAGCTATACAGTAGAGGAATGACAAAAGTAAATAAATAAAATGGAATGTCTATGGTGAAAGGTGTGACCATAATATGGTATGTTATGGAAGTGATAAGTTCATACATTGTTTTAAAATAATTGAATATGTTAAATATGATGAATGTTGGTGAGAATATAATTTAGTACATACAATTGTTTATGAATGATGGATTACTTACATCATTATTGAAATGGGATGGCACTTCTGGGATGTCATTGTTCGAAGTTCCATCTTGTAGAAAACGATATAAAGGTAATTCTGAGAATGGGCTTTCATGACAGGTGCAGGCTGGAGGGCATTGATGACTCCATTGTTCCTCTCTGCAAATCACCTGCAAAAAGCTTACCAGTCATCAAGAATCCTTAGTTACATAGCTTTTTTAACCTACATGATGAATTTCAGATGTAATTAAACATTTGCATTTTACTAGGGAGTGAGTAGCATATTCAGTGAATTGACAATTTTATGTAAACTACCAAGGTAATTCATTGTTGATAGTGAATACAAACAATGATATTGATAAAACTCATATCAAATGAGTAAACTTTCTGAAAAATTGTTAAAAAATTCTGTGCACTGTAATTACAATGTGGAATGACTTATTCTTGAACCCAGGTTTGCTTATTAAGCAGCCTCAATGCTAGACATAAATTGAGCTGTGCAGTCACTGAAATATCTTTATATTGTAGGAATTTTGTTTTCTTTCTTGGAAATTACACTACATTCTCACTACCAACAGGCTGGAAACCTAAGTTCCACGTACTCTCGTTGTATAAGTACCATGCACTCATGGTTAACCAAGTTGTAGATGATTAATAATACTTAAACTATCTAGCTTCTTTAAATGTGCCTTAAATATTAGTACAGAGATATTTTTTATCTTTTTAATGTAGAAGATCATCCAAAACTAATTATTCCTGCCATTATATGCAGTAGATGGTCATGGTATGTATTTTATACCTGACTGTTAGGTGTTTATTTAATTTGGTAATTTTTTACCCACAGTCTTCAAACTGTGAGTAGTAGGTTTGTAATAAATATTATAGGTGTTGTTTTTATAACAATGTTTTACATGTGAGAAATTTAAATTTATTACACCCTGGGACAACACTGTGCATTCTTAATGTAATGATTTAGTGGCTGGACTTTTTAGTAAGGAACATTGCAGATAAGTGGCCAAGAGATGCCTAGTTTAATTCTTGGGCCTGAGGCCAGCTATTTTGACTGAAATGTTGGGTTTTATTACTCAGCCCCTCCAGGCAGATGTTGAGATAGTACCTAAAAATGGACCAAAACAACTTCATGCCACATTTTTCCTGGTTTATCTTTCACAGTGATATGTTTTGACACTACATAACTTGAGCAGTTGAGAAAACAGTATAAAATAAACTTAGGAAAAAGTAACTTTTTCTTAAAGAAGTACCAGCTCACTCACCAGAAATGGAAGTTTCAGGAAGAACAGGAAAAGAAGACTTATTGGTCTGCCAGGCATATCTTGATGCCACATGGTGACCTGCAGGCTTCAACTGAGTATTCTGTCTCTAGTAGAAGATATATCATGCAGGCAGGAAGGGAACATGAGGGTGGGTGGGGGAGGGAAGTTTGGGAGATATTCTATCATTTCCTGGGAGTCACAACC